TTTATCTATTTTATATACAGTAGTTTGTATCTGCTAATCCCAAACTCCTAATTTATCCCTCCCCCACCTTTGTTTTCTATGCCTGTGATTCTGTTTCTGTTTTGTAAATAAGTTCATCTATGTCATTTTTTTAGTTTAACATATAAGTAATATCATATGGTATTTGTCTTTGTCTGTCTGACTGACTTCACTTAATATGACAATCTCTAGGTCCTTCCATATTGCTGCAAATGGCATTATTTCATTCTTTTTTATGGCTGAGTAGTATTCTATTGTATACATATAGCATAACTTCTTTATCCAGTCATCTGTTGATGGACATTTAGGTTGCTTCTATATCTTGGCTATTGTAAATAGTGATGCTGTGAACACTGGGGTGTGTGTATCTTTTGAATTATAGTTTTCTCCGAGTATATGCCTAGGAGTGGGATTGCTGGATCATATGGTAACTCTATTTTTAGTTTTTTAAATCTTCCCACTCTTTGTAGCTCAAATCCCTCTCCTCATTTGCCGCCCTCAGGACTGTGGCCAGTCCCTAGTCTCAGTTTTGTTCTCTGTCAAATGGGGTTGCAAACAGCACCTGCTCGCTGTCGTCACTGTGGGGGTTAAGTGAGGGTATCCGTAAAGGCTGATGCATGATAAGAATTTGATAATACTTCTGTCCTTTTGTAGCTATTTTTCCTCTGTCCTTGTGGAGAAAGAAGAGACTCTGTGTTCTCCTGCAGATCTCAAGGAACAAAACAGGCACAGAGACTCCCCCAAGCTGGGTGTCTGGGTCCTCCCCGCTTCCCTGGCCTGCAGGCTGGAGTGAGGGTGGGCTAGCCCTGGGCATGGTGTCTGAAACAAAAGTTGGCAGTGACTTGTTTTTCTCTCCCCAGGCAAAGAAACTTCTGCCTCCCAGGGACAGTAGGCGGGCAGCCCATATCCATCCTAGATGGACACCGCATCGTGGCCACACTCTGGCCATCCCACCTTGGAAGTGGAACCCCAGACGTTCAGGCTTGGGGGAGGGCGGGTAGCTGAAACATTGGGAAGGCTCCCAAGGCCTTGGCTGTGAACAGGCTCTCCTTGGGAAAAGGCTGCCAGAATGGGCCTGGAGGGCCCCGCCGTCAGCTCATCTTGGCCTCCTGTTCACACAGGGGTCTCAGGGAGTGGGCTCTAGGCCCAGCTTGTCTTTGAATGATGGTGCACCCCCCACCTTCTCTCCTCCTCAGCCCACTGCCCCCTCCCTGCCTGTCTGGACTCACCCCGGGGGGCCCAGTTCTGAGATGGCTCTGGCCCACCTCCCCCAGGCTGTGCTGGGAGACAGAATGCAAACAGAGGTGGCCCCAGCCGGCTGCTCCAGACTGTCACTCCATGATTCACTCTGGTGAAACCCTTCCCGGCAGCCAGAGTGGTGATGATCGTGACCTGCTGGGGGAGCAGGCAGAGGGGACAGATCCCTGGTGTCTCAGTTATGAAATCCTGAACCCTGTTGCCCAATCTGTGTGAACACTGCTTGCCTCACTTGAGCTTAGGAAAGCAGTTGTTGCTCCATTACCTTGACTGTGCAAGGCTGGGGAGCCTGGAGCTCACAGACTACAGTTCACCCCTTCCCAGGATACAGTGCCCATGCCTTACTGCACCTGCTCTGAGGCTCCTGCCATTGGGGAGTGTGGGTAAAGCCCCCTCCTATCTTGAATCCTCTGTAGGGTCATCAGGAGGAGATCAATAAACAAATGGAACACAGGCTTGCTGTCTTTATTAACAGGCTTGCTGTCAGGGATGCCAGGACCCAAGGGTCAGCCTTTGCCCAACTGTTTCACTTTTCCCACAAATATTTATTGACATGCCTCTGTTCAATGTCAGGTTCTGGCTACAGCCCTGGGGATGCACACGTGAACAAGACAGATGGGACCTGTTCTAAAGATCTTGAGGTGTAGTTAAGGAGACAGTAAGTTCATGCCAGATGAAGATAAGGACTGTGTAATTGTACCAGAGTGAGATGTTAGAATATGTGGAGGGGCTGACTAGGGGGCTGGTGCTTTAGGCCCAGTGGTCAGGGAGGGGACACCAAGAAGGGGTCGTGCCACTTCAGCAGTGACTGGTGGCAGAAGCAAGGAGAGGAGCTGCCCACAGTATGTGCAGAGGCCCTGAGAAGGCGGCAGACTTGGCTTGCTCCAGGCCCTGGAGGGGGAGGTGCAGAGCGAGACCCACTAGGAGGTGTGCTATACTCCAAAAGAGCTACAAGATTTCCCCAATTAATTTTGACTGAAACCCAGGGAACATGTGTTGGTATGGATAATAAGGGGTGGGATAAGGTTGGAGGGAACATAATGTTGGATCAGGTCAAGTTTATTGACAGAGGCTCATTAGCAGAGATTCTAGATTTAATGATAAAGCTTGGGGAATCAGGAAGGGCTCTAAGTTTGGTTGGTTGGCCGACACTGAATGAGTTGAAATGCCAGACCTGCCTGGTTTAATAGAGGGAGGGGTTCAAAGGCTTAGGGAGATGAGAATGTTAGTGTGGATTTGTCTCTCAGGACCCGCTCACCCACCTGGGAGAATCCAGAGAGCACACCTTTCACCACGATTGAGAGGGATAAGTTTGCGACATCATAGAAGAGCTCTGTGATCACTGTTCTCTGTAAGCCGGAAATTACTTGAGATTGGCTGACACTGACTTGGGGACTGAAATGCATAGGGGGTCATAGGATCCCAGGCTGGCTGGGCCAAGTGGTGGCTCTCAAGGACCAAAGGCAAGGAGGTGTTCTCACTGTGATGGACAGCAAGGTCCAAACAGCTATCAGAATAGTCCTACTCAAAGAGAATTCCAGCATTGGCCAGTCGAACAGGGTGCTCCTAGAAGTGAGATAGATTGGAAGCCTGCTGAATTCCCTCTATCTATATATGCAGAAGAGCTTTAGGTCAAGTGAATGAGTCCAACTTGACTCATAAATACAGAGTCATGACCCCTCAATCAATTTACAGGCTTGAGTCAGTTTACGTGTCTAGAAACTCTTCAATGAACCAGTGGTGGGACCCCTTGAGGAAGGCCCCTGCTCTATTGCCAAACATTTAGATGGTTTGTCTTTCTCCTAGCCTTCCCCACAGTGACCCATGCCAGGGTGAGTGTACACTGGGGAAAAGGAAATAATCAGACATTTCAGGGACTACTGGACACTGGCTCTGGACTGATACCAATTTGAGGAGACACAAATGTAACTGTGTCAGATTAGGGGCTTATGGAGGTCTGGTAGTCAATGGAGTTTTTAGCTCAGGTCTGTCTCACAGTGGGTCTCGTGAGTCCCCAACCCCACCTCGTGGTTATTTTCTCAGTTCCAAATGCATTATTGGAAGACACAGACTCAGCAACTGGGAGCACCCCTACATCGGGTAGAGGGGAGCCTGCAGGTATGAAGGCAAAGGTGGTCAGATGAGATTGGCGTGGCTGGGGAGGGAGGAGGGAGAGGCTAGTGCTGTGGGCCTGTTCAGCCTTCTCATTTCCCCTCCCCTGATCCCCTGCCAAGGCTAGGGGTCTCTGTGCTGCCGTGGGGTCACTGGCCTGTGCAGGGGCTGCTGGCTCACTTGCTGGGCCTTGGTGGGCCTCCGGCTCACTTTGTTACACTGGGCAGAGCACTGAACCTTCCTCTGTCTGTGGAACCCAGTCTGTCTCCTTGTTGTGTGAGAGCACAGGAAAGCCATGGCGGCGGGTGGGGGGCAGGAGGATGACGTAGATGCATGGGCTCGGAGTGCACGGTGCTCTGTGGATTAGATCCCTGACAACAAGCAGAGGAAGGTAAGTGGTGAGTGGGATTGGGGGATGGTCAGCATTGACAACACCAAGTAGGCTGATGTGGAGGAGCCCCTTTCAGGAGGGGCTTCCTGCTGCTTGCCCTCTCTCCACAGTGGGGCAGCCTCCTTGTCTAGAAAACATCTCCATCTCTGCCCTGCTGGAGGCCAGCAATGATTGCAGCTGTTAGAAAATCCCCTGGGATTGCAGAGAATGGGTTCCCCACCCCATTACTCCAGCTTGTACCAACTTACCCTCTGTGTCCCAAGCTGATCACTAGCTAAAGTGGAGCCTAGTTGGGACTCAGGATTGTCACTAGCCCTGGGGCACTGATCCAGGCCAGCCTGTGTCTAGCAGCCAGCTTTGACTAAGAGCGAGCCCACCATAGGTGAGCGGTGATTGAGCACTTGGTGTGCTTTCATGGGCATCATTGCCCTGACACTCTACCTAACCCTAGTGGGGCAGGTACTCATTCTGCAGGGGAGTAACAGGAGGCTCACAGAGGGGAGGCACTTGCCTGAGGCCATTTAGCCTTAGGTCCTCTCTGCTCACACCTTCCCTTTCTTCTTTACCCCAAATGAGAAACAGTGAAGGTGGCAGCCAACTTTTCAGTCTAGCCTGATGGCAGCAAGCATGTTGAAGGTGGCCAGGGGTGGGGAGGGAGCCAGCTGAGTGATTAGCAGGGCCAGGATGGACCTTGGACTTTGCCCACCTCTCCCAGCACTGCATCCTGGCCCAGAGTGTCCCTGAGAGTGAACTTGGCCCAAGAGCAGGCTAGCCTCCTCTTGCAAATTAAGCCACTGTGTTCAGGCTGTGCCCCTAGGCTGCCTCTCTGGGCTCAGACCTGTAGCGGGGTGCCCAGATGGGCCAGTGTGGAGAAGGTTAGACTGATAGGGTATCTGTGAGGAGCAATGCCTGGCTGCCTGCACCCCAGCGGTCCACAGTCATTTGTACATCCTGGTTAACTGGAGGGTGGCAGCTGGAAGTCAGTGTCCTTGGAGAGAGTGCAGTGAGGAGGGTGAGCCCCAGGACTCCAAGGTCCTCTCCCATCGGGAGCCGGGAAATGGATGGCCATGGGCAGGGTCTCTGCCAGGGGCTGGGTGAAATAATGTCACCTCCCCTTCCTGGCTGCTGGGTTACACCATAACCTCTGGCCTGCAGCTCCAGTTCCTTCTTCAGAAACAAAAGGCTCTCTGCCCTCCTCCAGTGCCCCCTTCCTTGCCAGGTGGAGCCTCCAAGATAGTCTTTCAAGCCAGGGGTTGCATTCAGGAGCAGACAACTCCTGGTGCTCTGCTAACACCAAGTCAGGCAGGACAGGGCACCCTGGGCCAGGGACCGGTGGGAGAAAGAAGGAATCTGTCTGGGGCCCTGCTGATCTTCAGCCTGGAGGCAGAGGCTAGCTCAGAGGAGGGCTGGATAAATGCAGAACAAGTGAGTGAATTGACAACGCTTGGGACTTTCATTCATTCAAGGTTTTCCTTTCTTCTGAGTGATAAGTGCCAGGAAGAGCCATGATTCTGGTGGGGGTACTGCCTGAGGCAGGTCCGTGGGTAGGTCCCAGGACCCTCTGAACCCTAGCATGCATGTGGGCAGGGCCGGCAAGTGGAAGGGGGCACCCAGACTCGAAGTTCACCGCCAAGTCAGCCATCATGCCCCCACCCCATACGAGGCCCTGGAAAGAGAGATATGCACACTGCGCCCCCACCCCGTAAGATGACCCCCCTTCTGAGTCCACAGGTCTTCAAGGTCCCAGCCCTTGGGACCGGGCGCAAGGACGGAGTGCAGGACCCACCAGCAGGGGCCGCGCTTGCTCTATGGGGGTCCTGCGCTGGGGCGGGTCCCAGCGGGGCTGCAGTTCCCCGAGGCGCCGCCGGGGGCGCTGTGGCTACAGCTCCGACGGCCTGGGCGATTCCCTGCTTTGGGCTCGGGCCTCACGCCGCGCCACCCGTGATCCCCGCTTCCGGGCCGGGTTCTCGCACCCCAGCCCCACCCTGCGCTCCAGCAGCTCCACGCCTCCCATGCCCCGCCCCTCCCCGACTCCTCTCCCCACCCCCGAGTCCGGATCCAGCCGGACTCGGAGCCCCCTCGCGGCCCTCGCGCCCCAGCCCACCCGACCCACCTCGGCCCTCCCGCCACCTCCCTCCTCCCGCCACGCCCTACGCGCCGCCCGACGCCCGGCCCGGCTTCCCCGGCCACTCCACGTGGTCGACGA